TTGTGCAATGCTTTCAAGAGAAAATGGTCAAAACGATACATGAAGTTGTTTCAAGTTGAGTAAGTAGTACTCCATCTTACACTTGAAAATAAAAAGTACATGAACTTGCATTTTTAAAGTCGGTTAAGTACATTTTCTCTGTTAGAACGTTAAAATAGCTGACATGGCCAAACTATAAGCTTGTAATACATTGTTGCAGTCCAAGTCATCAAATAATTAATCTATAAACTCTAATTTCCTCCAGTTCACTCGCTTCCACCTTTGCTCTTCATCTTATATTTCTCATGTATGCTCTCCCTTCTCTCTGTTCTTCATCTTATATTTCTCTCGTCTGCTCTCCAAGGCGGAGCCAGTGCACTGAATCGGACTGAACCAGGAAAAAAAATTACACAAAATTTTTACTTTAAAATTAAAGCATTTTTTAAATTGGGGTGGACCAGGACCTAGGTTGACCCCCTCTAGCTCCGCCCATGTTGCTCTCACTGCTATCCTGTCAACTCCTTCTTTTATTTGATACCGGTCCATCTTTATTATAGCAAGAGAAAGAAGAAGAAGATAAAATAGAGCAAAAAGAAGTCAACATGATAACAGAGAGAGTAGACGGGAGAAATATAAGATGTAGAGCGGAGAGAAGGGAGATCAAATGAGAAAAATATAAGATCATGAGTGAAGGTGAAAATGAGTGGACAGTAAAAAAAAATAGAGTTTACAGATTAATTATTTGATGACTTCGACTGCAACTATATAATACAAACGGATAGCTTGGCCAGGTCATCTATTTTATCATTCAAACAGAGCAGATGTACTTGATCGACTATAAAATACAAGTTCATGTATTTTAAAATTTCTAATGCAAGATGAAGTACTACTTACTCCTGTCGAAACAACTTCATGTATCATTTTGACCATTTTCTCATGCTTTCAATCTGAAATCCAAGCTGAAGTCAATTTGAATATGTCTCTAGTGTATCACGGCGGAGACGTCAAGTTCTTGCAACAACATGATTTGTTTTGCAATGATAAACTTCAACGGACTTTGTGCGATAGCAGTGAAGAAGAAGATGACGATTTCGAGCATTTGTGATAACGCCAAAGAATGGGATGGTGTAGAGTTGGACCACCAATGACAAAAGAAGAAAATGATAACGACTTTGAGAGGAGGAGGAGGAGGAGGCATGTTCATCACCAAATTTGAACAAGTTGACGCGAGGAGATGATGTCGATCCGAGGAAGGTTGGGGAGAGGAGGAGGAGGGGGAGGAGGAGGAGAAGAAGAAATATAATGAAGGAGGAGGAGTCCGGCTCATATTTTGTGCATGGCAACTCTAAAATGTAGTGTTTAAGTCATTATTTCTTATTTTTTATGTCAAAGCTTCATCAGTCAAACATTTGGTATGGGACAGTATGACATAGTGGTATTTGGTAGCATGGTGAGTTGAAAGTTACTAAGTTACTCGAATCCGAGTTCAAATCTTATCTAGTACTGCTTTCGTCCCATATTGGGTTTTCTTATTTTAGTTTGATATAGTTATTAAAAAAAATGTTTGAAATGTATAGTTATGATTGAATTTTCAGTAGAATAAAGTTAAATGATATGGATCACATCTTTTTTATCAAAAAAATAAAACATGACATTAATTTTGGGGTAACTCAAAAAGGAAAGTAAGAAAATCAAAATGAAACGAAAGGAGCAGTATTAAGTTCATGTTCGATCTTTTACTTATAGAATAAAATTATTTTAAAGTGATCAATTTGAAAAACTAGAATTCCTTAGCAACCTCGTCAAAATTAGGTGCTTGTTTGTACTCAAATTATGAAGAATACTACGAGTAGCATAATGTATCCTATTTTATTTTATTTTATCACCTCATAACTCTCCTATTTATGAAAATCTTTTTATTATAAAAGTTTTTTTGGTAATAGGAATCGGGCGTAGATGAGGCTTTATGCCAATGCGGTGTAAGTTAAAAGAGAGTCTAGAAGTGGTAGAACTAGGATCATATGTATTCAACTCATGATAATTAGGTTGGCTCTTACAAGACACTCAAATCAAAGTAAAACCTTGATAGAGTATATGGACTCGGATCCACGGACCACATACTCTTAGACACACAATGGCCCAAGCCCATCACACCATGCGGGGTCTCTCAATCAAATCCACTCCAAAATGAAGAAATACACCCAGACTTATCACTTTGGTCAAAGATCCCAGACAATTGCTCAGGAACAAGAACAACAACTAGACCCGGAGTGCACGCCTCCACCTCCGCCAACAAAGAACACATGACCCGAAGCCAATTAAAGAATGACACACGTCAAGTTCTGTTACATCCCAAGGCTCTCGCCCATAAAATGGCCAACATGTGTAATGTATTTAATGCGCCGCCTCATTAATTACTAGTCCAAATGCCCCCCCTTGGGAGCAGTTTTAAAGGGTTCGACTCCGATTAACATCAAGCTCTTTCTCTCTCTATACCGTACCTCTTTTCTCTCTTTATAACACCACTAGTAGTTTACCGGGAAACTATCAAAACCAAACTTACTAATTCACTTGCTATAGTGAAACAAAATGTAGATGTTTTTTTAATTAAATGTTACTCAACCCCTCAAATGAATTATGAGGGGGAGTTTAGAGTGGCATGGCAGAGATGGGAGGGGAGGAGTCTATGTAGGCTCTCTCCATTGGTTTGGATGTGAGGCAAGGACTCAAAATCAAATGATATCTAATCAGATCTTCACATTGATTGCTTTTTCTGTCAGTTAAAATCAAATGATATATGATCAGGTCTCCGCATTGATTGTTTTTTCCGTCAGTCAAAATCAAATGATAGCTGATCAGATTTCACATTGATTGTTTTTTACGTCAAATATATGATTACCGCGCAAAAGAAATCCTTGCCTAGTGATGGGTTCTTCACAATACATCATCACGAACCACACCGATCTGCCAAAGTCATGCAGTATGTGCGTCGTTCTTCCTAGAGTAGCCCTCCAAGCAGACACTGCACTTGACATTTGATAAGAGGGCTGCTAACCCGCGCTTTTTTTATACTATTGGACCGATCCCGAATTGCACATAGTCATAACTCATACCCGAATGTAGACCGCGCGCGATCCCGTATTTCAAGCGAGTTACTTGCTTATGATGGACTAGGTCTCCTCAAAGTTGTTACATTGGACCAATATCTCAACAAAAGTTTTTTCATAAACCATATAAAAATATAAGAAAACTGATATAATAAACATAATGTAATCTGAATGTTGTCATATTCAAAGCAAGATTGGCATCAACATTATTCACTTTGTTGCATTTTACAAATACAATTATCTATTATTTCATTTGATCAACTCAAAAACAATTGTCCTATCAGTTTTGTCATGTTTATTTGCCTAAAGGAACATTCATAGATAGTATTTTCTAAAAGCCATATTAATACTACACTTTCTCTTAAGATAGCATGTGACTACTGTAGTCTCAAACACAATTGGAGGAATGGACCAAATGCAAAAAGCTCATGTTGTTTTCAAATTTTTATGAGCTTAAATAGGTTAAATTTGGGAAAGGACCCACAAAAAAACCAAACAAGACCAGAAATATTTTTTATCACATTTCCCTTCCTTGCAAAATTGACTTCACTCCCTTAATTTTTTTCTCCATTTTCTTTTGTTTTCACAAAATCTCTCCTATCAATTCCACACCCCACAACCAGTCCTTTGCCCCACCCACTTTTTTTGTTTCACTCTTTTCTCCTAACCGAATTTCTACAGTACCAAATAGGAAGACTTTGGTGTCAAATCATCCTAAATAAACAAAAGGCCAGTCTTGCACCGTCATTAAATAGGTGAAGCCGTGAAGGTGCATTGTGTGGTGTCCATGGACCACTATCATTAAATGTTCATATAGTACATCCACTGTGATCTTTATTGATTACCAACCTTAATATACCAATTAGGCCAACTAAGAGCTCTACTAGTTAGTTTAGAACATTTCTTTACTTTAATATCTCGTTAGACTTTTCTCACATCGTTTGATTTGTTTATATATAAACCTAATTTAGTTCGGACCATTATGCTTGGCTCTGATCGTGTATACACTTATCTTGTAAGATATTTCTTATTTTAATTATAATATATACGTAGTACTATCCCCGTCCCAATTTGATGTTTCCGGTTCCTATTCACTTGATCAACTTAAATCACTCATAATCTTTTATTTTTATATCAAAATTTTATGAATTCTGAATTATTTTTTGCAGGCTTTATAGCGGTTTTAATGTGGTTTCTGAATATGTAAATTGTATTTGCTTCAAATAATTTGAGTGTGGACAGAGACTCGTTTGCTTTATTGTCGGTCAAGCAACGTAAACCGCCACGTGGACATCGAATTGGGACGGAGGGAGTACTTCTTTTACAAATCTCATATTTCCACAGTGGTAAATTAAGGGGTGAAACCCCAATCTAATACTCCGTATTATATAATTAAGGATGCATTTAATTGGACTCATTTGAGTCCCAGATCAGACTCAAACTAATTAGATTAAATTAAACTAAATTTATACATTCTAAAAATCACATATCATACATCTATCGGAAAATTGTAATCCAATTGAAAAAATTGAGTTTATAGAATTGATATCACATTGATAAAATAAGAATAAAAAAGAGTGATTTATAATCCATATAAACACGGTTGATTTTGATATGAGACAATCTTAATGAGATCAATCAAAATGAAAAAGTGAAACAACTTCAACACCACAGAAAGGATATTAATTACTCACTAAGAGAAAAATAATGTTTTTTACACTTTCAATTATTTTTGCTAACTAAATTTACTAAATCTTAAAAAGCAATTTCACTAATCTACTTTACCAATACATTCATCCGTGAAAGAAGGTAATAATCTCACCCTTTAACCAACAATTAGGTAACCTCGCGAAGGGCGGTCCAATTTTTATTTTTTACTTTTACTTTCCTAAATCAAATCGAATGGGAACAGAAATACTAATAGCCAAAGCTCTTTCAGCGGTTCACCCCACAACGCTTCAAACCTCTGCTTGCTTCCCCTGTCTCTATATTCCGGTGGCCGGAACCGCGCTTGAGCAACCGTCTCTCTCTCTATCTCCTCAGCGTCTGATCTGGTTTCCCTGAGCTAAAACTCCGTCTTCCATACAGCTCGATCTTCGCGTTTTCCCGCACCATTGACTTCAGTCAAAACAGGCGGACTGTGCCGTAAGCATCTTTGCAAGTGGGGCCGGAGAAGGAGCAGGATCCGGCGGCGGTAGAATCGGTTTATGTTGTAGACGTGGGGCATTTGGACGGAAATGCCTCCTCCCGGCGGGGAAGGAACATTGGAATGATGAGCTCAGCTGGTGACGAAGAAGAGGAAGACGAGTGCTTTCACGATTCCTTTGACCGGCTCATCTCGTCGTCCAACACCTCTTGCTCTTCCTCTGCTTTACCTTCCGATGAAGAGGAGGATCGTTTTCTTTCTCACTCAGGTTCGCCCAATTATGCTTGCCCTAATGCGCTTTCTATTCCTTGCTTCCCCGTGGGTGCTTCTGACAACTATGATGTCTGGATCTCTGAACCTTCCTCCGTCGATGAACGCCGCCTCAGCCTCCTCCGCAGAATAGGTCTCAACCGTGACCCTTCTATCCTGCGCCATCGACCCTCACTCTCGGCAGCTGAGGGCAGCAGTCCGGGTGACGCAAAGGACTTTTTTGGCGAATCGGAGTGGTCAGATCATTTGAGGAGCGGAATTGACAAGGGTGAGCATTGTCTTACTCCTGAGAGTAATAATTCCAGAAGTAGTAATAAAATCAGTAGGGTACCTGGGGTTGTACGGTCGAAGTCTGAATGCAATCGTCATTCCTCCCATTATAGGTCCAGTTCTTCCTCGCCTGTAATTCATAGAAGTACTGATAAAGCTACCATTGGTTCTATTCATCCATGGTCCTCAGAGGCCGATGCAGCCAGTGTTGTTGACCCTGTAGCTGTAAATACTAGTCAAATCCATAGTCTAAGTGTCAGTGATGTCTATCAAATGAAAACAGGTATTGGATCGCCACTAGCTGATTCTGTTTCACAAAAGACACCCACCGGCTGTAATTTTGGAAATGTAGAGGAGGCTCTGAGGTCTACTTTAGTTGAAGATGCATTTGAAACGCCTGTGTGCATAATAAAGGATCTTGATAATGGGAAGGCGTTTGTGGTGAATGAAGTGAGTGAAGATGGGACATGGAACAAGCTTAAGGAACTAGGGACAGGGCGGCAGTTGACAATGGAAGAATTTGAGATATGTGTCGGGACGTCTCCCATTGTTCAAGAACTGATGAGAAGACAGAATGTAGAGGATGGTGGTAAGGATGGTTTGAATTCCAACTCAAATGGGGGCAGTGGGAGTGGATTTAAACTGAAGAGAACTGGAAACTGGTTGAAAAACATCAAGAATGTGGCTAACTCTGTTGCTGGTTACAAGGATTGGCTTGGTAGTGATGAAAAGGATGCATCATCTCATTCATCTGAAAAGGGTGGGAGAAGGTCAAGTTCTGCCACAGATGATAGCCAGGATGTTTCTTTTCATGGACTGGAGAGAGTTAAAGTTCGGCAGTATGGGAAGTCATGCAAAGACATAACTGCTCTCTACAAAATTCAGGAAATCCAGGCACATAGTGGGTCCATCTGGAGTATGAAGTTCAGTTTGGATGGGAAGTATCTTGCAAGTGCTGGTGAGGACTGTGTGATACATGTTTGGCAGGTTACAGAGTCAGAGAGGAAGAATGACTTGTTAGATAAACCAGAAGATCCTAACACGAATCTTCTTTTATTGATGAACGGGTCCCCAGAGTTGGCTTCTATCTCACCCAATTTTGATGGCCACATGGAGCGGAAGAGAAGGGGAAGGCCATCCATAAGTCGAAAATCAGCAAGTTTTGACCATGTTGTGATGCCAGAAACTGTATTTGCACTATCTGAGAAACCCACTTGTTCCTTTCAGGGACATCTGAATGACGTTCTGGATCTTTCATGGTCCAAATCTCAGGTTAGCCAGTTTTCTTCATTTATTTATATATTATTCATTTCAGCTTTGCATTATTTTCCTATTTCTTAAGCTCTGCCAAGTGTTTTGACCCCCCTTCTATTTCGCTGCTTTCAGCATTTGCTCTCTTCTTCAATGGACAAAACAGTGCGGCTCTGGCACTTGTCTAGCAATTCATGTTTAAAGATCTTCTCACACAGTGATTATGGTAAGTACTAGAATACGAGGCCCTACATTATTTTTGGGGCATATTTTAGCTGAACAGTTTTGTTTTATGATATAATAAGTAGATTACCGGTTACCAGAAGGAGTAGTGTGTGTGTATACACTCACACACACACTACCCTTTATGTTCGTTAACAAACTCCGTACTCACTATTAGTTACTAATGATACATACAGTCAAGATATATATGTTTAATCCTTAAATATGGGAGAGTTCTTATGAGAACCACTCTTTCAATGAGAACTTCTTATTAATCTAGTATGAGAAATTTTAATCTCAACCTTTCATCTTTTTCAATCAATGATTGATACTCATATGGGTTCATATTTGTAATTACCCTAAATTCAAATGGGAGCTTTTTGAAACTATTTTTAAACAATTACAAAAGTGCCCCCTTTTCAAAATTAGCCATTGATTATAATAATTAATTAAAGATGAAGAGTAGACATTCTCGTTTTAAAATTGGTTGCCATTCTTAGAGGGGTTCTCATAAGAAACCTAATTTATTTATTATTAGGGGACACTCAATTTAATGATCAGTCAAACACAATTTGTAAACCGTAAAGGGAAGTTCAGTAAGGGTTGGATGTAGTAAAAATTATTCATGTTTACCAGTCGATTGATTTTCTGGATTTGAATTGATGCAGTAACCTGCATCCAGTTTAATCCTGTTGATGATAGATACTTTATAAGTGGATCACTGGATGCTAAGGTTCGCATATGGAGTATTCCTGATCGGCAAGTTGTTGATTGGAACGATCTTCATGAAATGATCACTGCTGCATCATACACACCGGATGGTCAGGTGAGACATCTTTTTAGAACCACGTTCTATTTGTCATCCTAGCTTTGGAGGATGATATTCACATAATTGCATGCCATAGAAAATTTCTTTTGCTTCGAAAATGATTGTTTGTATATATTCATTGGTTAAGCGCGCACTGGTTGGATCATACAAGGGGAGTTGCCATCTATACAACACATCAGGTATGGAGTTTATATCCCTCTCAAACAAATCTTTCCCCACCACTCTCCTCCCTTATAAAGATAACTATCTAAAGTCAGCTGATATTATTTGTTGTTTTGTGATTTTAGAAAATAAATTGCAGCAAAAGGATCATATTAATCTGCAGAATAAGAAGAAGAAATCCCATCAAAAGAAAATCACTGGCTTTCAGGTGATCATCATTTTAAGTGCTGCAGCAGTTCAATTCTTGGCGTGTCCCTATATATGTGTGTGTGCAAAATATCAAAAGGATATTCTGAAACTCTACAAAACCAGTGCTTACATTTTTAATGATTGTTAACACATGCATTTTTTAAAATTTAGTGTGTAATGTTGCAGTATGGTCTTCAAATTGACACTTCATCGCTGATTGCACTAACAACTTTCATTTGTCAGATTCAATTTATCTTTATCTTGCTTGAGAATTGTCTGTAACAAATCAATGGTTCTTGACAAACAGTTTGTCCCTGGAAGTACAACGGAAGTGCTAGTGACATCTTCAGATTCTCGAATTAGAGTCATTGATGGTGTTGATCTTGTTCACAAGTTCAAAGGTACATACACTGTTAAATGTTTACAATATTAAAGGTTTTAAGCTGGTGAAGATGTGCTTAAAATGGGTATGAGCCTGTTTACTGAAAAAATATACTACCTCCATTTTTCAATTAGTTGGTCCAATGTGGTTTCCACTTGATATCTGACGAAAGTTATAGGGTAATGAATAGTAGGAGAAAACCGTTGAAAAGGTAGAGAAAGCATAAAAGTAAGGGAAGAGATGAAAAAGGGTATATATGTATTTTAGTATGGAGACATTGTCAAAGACTCAAAGTTGGGTAAGTGGGGCAAGTATTAAAAGTTTAAAACACTTCCAGAAAAAAATATGGAGCAAATGATAAAAAACGGAAGGAGTATATTGCTACCCTTCAATAATTCGTTTATATGTAACAGGATTCCGCAACACAAATAGTCAAATTTCAGCATCTCTCACAGCAGACGGAAAGTATGTGGTATGTGCCAGCGAGGATTCATGTGTTTATGTTTGGAAACATGAAGGCCCTTCTCGACCAGGAAGAAACAGAGGGGTTACTGTTACACAAGCTTATGAGAATTTCTATTGTCAAGATGTTTCAGTTGCTATTCCTTGGCCAGGGATGTCTGGTACTTCTCGATTTCCTATCAACTCTTCCACAGGACAAAATGGCCGTTCTATTAATAGTCACGATGAGGTGCTAGCTACAAATCATCCGACAACCCCTGCTGAAGATACTAATGGAACCATATCTAGTGCCATGAGCAGCTACTTCTTTGATAAAATGTCAGCAACATGGCCCGAGGAAAAATTAATCTCAGCTACTAAAACTAGTAGGCGTGCTAAGGTGGATGCCAGTATTGACATCACCGGAGGCTTAAATCAAATAAAACCTGCGTGGGGCTTGGTGATCTTGACTGCTAGTGTACATGGGGAAATCAAGACTTTCCAAAACTTCGGGTTGCCTTTCCGGATTTAGAGGATGGGAAGATTGAACCCTTGAGGATTGATGGAGGTGCTTATTACTTCATCCCACAATCTAGTACATGAAATCTGTACATATATTGGTGAAATTCCAATACTATACCTTTTTTTCCTTGCTCTTGTTCCAGTTGGATCTGGAATTTGGCATTACAGGGCTATAAAACAAAAGTAATTCAGGAAGTGATTAGCGAAGGAGTGGTAGAAAGATAAACCCAATTTAATTACCTTTCTTTGGCTGTAATAGGCAATTGTAGAGCTCAAAAGTTTATCAAGTCAAAGAAAATTCATTAGAGTTTGGTCTACATGGCTGTCTTGAGTACATGTTGGTGTGGATGGGATGGATGATTCTAAGGTAAGTTAATAGTTACCCTGTATCATTAATTAGGTTAAATCAAACTGGCCATTGAAAAAACAAGTAAAATTAAGTAAAATGGTTAAATCGATTACAATCCTTCATTTGTCTTTGGTTTCTTTTTAGTTCTGATGAAATTCAGAGGTGTGATTTTCAATTTATCACAATATTAATGATCACCTTACAAGTCATTTCTTAGTAAACTGGATAGCTATTTGCGAAGTGAGGACTGAGGACATGTGCTTTTAATAGATGCAATTTGGCAATTTGCATTCATAAAAGCTCCCACCTACGGTGATGTAAGGGGGGTCGGATGTACGCAGTCTTACCACTGTACTAAAGCATAGAGAAACTATTTCTGGATGATCCATAGTGAAAATAGCGTCCAAAATTGCATGGACTGACTGTTGATTTATAAATCATATGAAAGAAGCGTAGACAGTTTAGTGAGCCATTTTGCTTTATTCCATCATATTCTCAGTAAAAAAAATAATGAATCTTTGGCTCCATTGCAAATGAGGGAACAAATTCATAAATCTAAATTGCACAATTAAAACACAAATTACTCCAAATAGGGCTAAAACTATATAAAAACTCAAAATAAGACTTGCTATGTTTTTATTCCAAAATAGGACCATATTAGTCCTATTGAAAACATACCTATTTTTCATTACATTCTTACCCTTCCTTTAAATATGAGTAAAAGATAGTCAAAAGTCATAATTAAATGTTTAATTCATAATAAATTCAAAAAAATTCAAAAAATCATATAAAAATAATATAAATAATAATAAAATATTTATAAATAATTTTTTAAATTTGTTTTTAAAAACAAATAATAAAAATAGTAAAATTCCATAAAAAAATAAAAAAATATGGATGTCTTTCCCACCGCATGCACTGCCTCCATGCACCACCATCTCCGACCGGTGTAAAAATGTCATTTTTTCTAAAAACTGCCATTTTCTTCTTTGGAAAATGCCAAACAAATGACATATTACTCTTTGAAAATGCTAAGGGCCTGTTTACTAACAGAGATATTTTCCAGTTTTCCAGAAAACTGGAAAACTGGAAAACAGAAAACAGGAAACGTGTTTACCAAAGAAATTCCTGGAAAACTGGAGAAACGAAAAAAGAAAAACGCGTTTACCAAATCGTTTTACAAAACGGAAAAAACGAAACATGTTTCTCTTTTCCTTAATGATTTGGAAAGTCACTTTTACTAGTTTTCCAAATTTGGAAAACGCAAATGCTACAGTGCTGCTGCAATGAATTTGCATACTTACACCTAGTGGTGGGTCCAGTCCCGCTCCGATGTCGATTCCATTCTGGTACCTCCATCCTCGTACCTTACCCCTTACCCCTACCCTACCCTACCCTACCCACCCTACCCCACCATTACGCATACCCATTTTTCCCTATAATGACCCTACCCCACCCCCTACCACATGCCCCTACCACATGCCCCTACCTCGGCCCCACCCCGATCCACCCTACCCTACTGCCACCTCCTACCACCTCGACCTCACCCCGACCCACCCTACCCTGCCCCCACCGGTATATTACCCCTTACCCCTTACCACATGCCCCTACCTCGGCCCCACCCCACCGCCATCCTACCCCCACCCTCGTACTGCCATCCTACTCCCACCCTCGTACCACCATCTTACCCCCACCCTTCCGCCATCCTACCCCCCACCCTACCCTTCCCCTATCTCGGGCCCACCCAGATCCCGGGCCCACCCTACTGCCATCCTATCTCACTACCCTTACCTTACCCCAACCCCAACCCTACCCACTACCCCCACCCTTACCGCCATCCTACCCCCACCCCCCTACCCCTTCCCTACCTCGACCCCACCCTGATCCCGGCCCCACCCTACCGCCATCCTATCTCAACTCCATACCCTACCTCTACCTTACCCCAAACCCTACCCACTACCCCACCCTTACCCCTAACCACAACCCTAACCCACCCACTACCCCCACCCAACCCCCTACCCCTACACCTTACCACCCCACCCCGACCATACCCCCTTACCCCACCCCCACCCCCACCCATAACTTCCTTACCCCGACCCCTACGAGTAGGTATGTGTGGGTATGAAGGGTTGTGGGGGAGTATGGGTAGAGTGTAAGATCGTGGTAAGGGTAGGGGTCAACGGTGTGGAATTGGTGAACTGAGTGAAAAAATTGATGAACATATTTTCAGATTTGAAAATGGAAAACTAAAAAATAGAAACAGAAAATTGGAGATAGAAAAATTGAAAAATAAAAACAGAAAATTGGAGAAAAACAGAAGTAGAAAACAGGAAAATATCTCTGTTAGTAAACAGGCCCTAACATTTTCATTATTTTTGCCAAAAATATGGCATTCCTAGTGCAAGTGTCATTTTCCCCCGGTGACCGGAGGTGGTGGTACTGCCTCCCTGCACCACTACCTCCGACTGGTGTAAAAAAATGTCATTTTTTCTAAAAACTACCATTTTTTTTTCTAAAAAAGCCAAACAAATGGCATATTTCTCTTTGAGAATGCCAACATTTTCATTGTTTTCTGCCATAAATATGGCATTTGTAATGAATTTGGCATTTTTTTCTCTGGGGACTGGAGGTGGTGGTGCTGGGCGGCAGAGGCAGCGGTGATTTTTTTTGCATTATTTATTTTTTAATTTTTTTTAATTTTTTAATTTTTTTTTTATTTTTTATTATAAATCAAAACATTTCAATAGCAATAAGGGTATATTTGTCCAACACACACTAATTAGTCCTATCAAAACATAGCTTACTTTTTTGTCCTATTTGTGCAAACTAACAAGCTTTTAGTCCTATTTTGATAATTAACTTCAATTGAAATGACACTTGTATCATTTCATATTAATTTCTTACTATCCAATTTTGACAACCATTAAACTCCCTCCCACTTTCTCTACTAACTCACATAGCGCGTCTAGACCACATGTGTGGTATATCGCTAGTTCAAACTGTAGAGTTGACTTACGTCTTTTTATCAGTGTGAATATGGAATAACCTAACTATGGTTAGCTCTACAGATTTGTTGCCTTGGACCCTTGTATCTTGTGTATTTCGTTTTCAACGAAGGGCGGGTAAGGATCGGGGAAAGCTATGGTTACCTGCAACCAAAAGGGGAAAACGTCTTTTATCATCATCATCACCTCAGAGCCGCAGAGGCTCCCACCTACGGTGGCGTGGGGGGTCGGATGTCCGCCTATTTGATAAGCGGAAAGACGATTACTTACATGTAGGACTGCTGCAATGACATGTGACCGGCTAACCGGTGATTACACACTAAAAGTGTATATATTTCGAGTTTTTAACAAAAGTTGAGGTGTATGATTAGGTGATATTTTGGAACGAGGGCTTAATCTCATTTTGTGTATAGTTTTATTTATTTTTTGTGGTAAAAGATTTATACGGAGTTTAAAATACAAAAAATATCAATGACGGCAACCAAACATGCAAGGCGATATGAGTTGTACTCTTGTAGTCCACCAACAACGAATAAGGCGTGATAGCTACTAACCTGTTTTATAGCCAGTTGATCAATTCCATTTGATGGAGTCCCATTTTATTCACCCCACTTCCTTGCTGGTCAAATGACATAACAATTCTTTTTCTTCAAATTGTTACAACACTTTATTTATGATCCAAATTTTTAAAAAATATATCACATTAAACAAGTTTTATGATCTTTCATTTTTTTTATGATCTTTCATATATATGTTAACAATATTGCTTTTGTAAAATGTTAACTTTCTATTTTAACTTTTTTTCTTTTTAAATTCCCGATATGCAATATCGGTACATACGAAAGGTCATAAAATCTTATTTAATTTGATATTATTTTTGTACAAATTGAACCATAAAAAAAAGAATGGAGAAAAAATGAAATATAAACAAAAACAAAATAATTGAAGAAAAGTAACAAAGAGAAAAGGGAAAATTTTGATGCATACTATTTACATGAAAATAGAAACACAGAAACATGGATTCATGGAACAATAAGTTACAAGTCACAAATATGTCAAAAACTAGTGAAAAAAATGGGACGAAAAAAGAAGAGAAATAACAATGACTTCTAATTGGGCGAAAAGGAGAAAAGAAGAAGAAAAGAAGAATGAAAAGAAAAGAAAATAATAACGAGTAGGGAAGGAAAGTTAGGGAACACACTTTTATAAAAGAGAACCAAATCAAGTAGCAGTACACGAAGAAGGAATTAGAGTCAAAATGAGGAAGAAAAATAAGGGGGGTAAAGTGGTAAACAATCCGGAGAGAAGTTGCACACATTTTTTTCTAAGAGGGAAGAAAGCGAATACTTAAACAAGAAAAATAAATAAAAATAACAAGATAAAAAACAGGAAAAACAAGTGTTGAGATAATAAAAACAAAGGGAGAAAACTATTAAGAGAAAAAAGAAAAATGTTACAGAGTATACAGAGCCATTTTGTTAAAATCAGTGAAAGATGAGATTATTTGTCTACTATTTTCCAAAAAAGAAAAGCAAACCCCCTGGAATAATATGTCATCAATTGGATAAAGATAAACTTAAACGGAACAACATGTGATGCAAATGTGCAAGTGCTATAGGACTACATTTAGGGAGTACGTATATGGTACATCCGGCTGTACGGTCAGCACCGTACAGCCGGCCCAGTAACAGGCCCAAGGGAAAAATAGCAAAACAATTCGGTGGCATTATTGTAATTAATGTGAAAATCGTGGTTTCTGCTAAATGAGCATTAGTGTACTGTTAATGAGCAATAGTTCAATTTTAATGAGTATTGAGCGTCTAATAATGAGCACTGTGTTATTACAAGAAAGATGATATCACAACTAAAACACGGTGGCATTTTCGTAATTTCAGTGAAAATCGCAATTTTCGTTAGATGAGCATTAATACACTTTTAATGAGTATCAAATGTATTCTATTGAGCATTAAGGGTCGAATAATGAGTATTGTGATATCAACTTCATATATTGTAATTCACTTTCTTTCTTTTTTTAATTTTATTTTATAAAAACTCATTAAAT